GGGGTAGTCGAGCGTTTGGACTCTTGGTCAATGTCCTGGTTAGTGTTGTGCAAGACGAAAGTGGCATGCGGCAGCCGAAGACAATGCAGCAGAGTACAGCAGGCGATTCGTGTGCATGAGTTCGCGGCACCACGAGGCAGGAAGCTGGCAAACCTGGCGGCCGAACACAGCACCGCATTGTACAGCAGGAGAGTTAGTTGTGTGATCAAACGCTCCAGCCCGAGAAGTGCGAAAAGGTTCTGACTTCTCGACTTGCTTGTGGAACCTCGTAGTTGGCATGACTTGTTTCTGAAACGGCGAGCCCTTAGCCCGAAAACCCCCGGAGCCCTAGTTCCACACCCGAAACCCCAAACCTCCAGCAGCTCGGAGGCACTACGTGGACGTCCAGCTCCAGGATATTCCAGGCCTGACCGGCTGGACGGCTGTGGACACAGGGTTTCCCAACCACCCCAGTTCGCTGGCGAGAGGGCGGGGTTGGCAGACGGCCTTGCGCACCCTGCTTGCCTGACTTGTTTCTGAAACGAAGAGCTCTTAGCCTGAAAGCACCCTGCGCCCTAGCCCGACACCCAAAACCCGAAACACCTAGCAGCTTGGAGGTTCCAGTTGGACATCGACATGGGCAGCGACTGCCGCCGCAGAGATTCCAGGCCTGACCGGCGGTGGCTGTGAACAGTTCGCTGGCGAGGGGCGGGGCTGTTTTGCATGACTTGAAACGGAAAGCCCTTAGCCTGAAAAAAGCCCCATGAGCCCTAGCCCGACGTCCGAAATCCTAAACCCCCCAGCAGCTGGGAGGTACTACGTGGACATCCTACTAGGGCAGCCGTAGACATAGGGGTTTCCCAACCCCCCCAGTTCGCTGGCGAGAGGGCGGGGTTGGCAGCTGGCCATGCGCACCCTTTTTGCCTGCCTTCGTTTTCAAACGGAGAGCCCTTAGCCGGAAAGCCCCAAACAAAACCCCAAACCCCCAGCAGCTTGCAGGTATTACGTGGACATCGACGTGGGCAGCGACTGCCCAGGCAAGCCGAGGCCTGACCGGACACAGGGGTTTCCCAACCTCCCGCGTTCGCTGGCGAGAGGGCGGGGTTGGCAGACGGCCTTGAACATGAGGACGCAGCTGGAACTTGCGGGATTTAGAGCTGGATGTGCGCAGTCGCAAAGCAGGAAGGCATAGGCGTGCTCGCGTCGACACGGGCTCGAAGACCAAGGGTTGGAGAAGACATCACCACTCGCGCTGGGCGCACGCGCGTCCTTTCGCCCATGGCCGCGGTGCCGGTGTTGGACATGTACACGGAACACGAGCCACGCCGACCTCTACCGGCAGATTGCGACGGCACTGATAAGGAAGGGAAATTTGTGCTACTACAGGCACAAGATGGTCCCTTGCTCTTTTTTTCACAAAGGACATATGTAGATATATGTTCAAACATTTTTGTTCCTTGTCCTCTTCTCCTAGTCCTGCAAGTTGAACCTGGGTGGGCCTTTGCCAGTCCGTATTTCCAGGCTGGTGCCACTGGACGGCCTGCGCCCGCCCTTGGTGGAGCCTGCGCCTGAAGGTGGTACTGAAACCTTCAGATTTTAGCAGAACCTGGAAAGTTCGAAGTTCCAATCCAGCGTTTCCTTTTTCTTCGAGAAGAATCTCGGCGACTTTCGCCAGGCTCAATGGGGTTGGGGCAGAAGGTTTTGCGGTTAGTCAACTTGGTGTCCCACCTCGCTGCTTGCCTCTTCTTCGAACATCAGCTAGTTACTTTCAGGTGGCATTGTGTATTTAAGGAATGGCAGAGTGCATCACGCGCGGCTCTGCAAGTCTGGGCTTAGTGCTGGGTGGCGCTGCTGGCTCCTTTCCAGCCTTGTCATCTAATAGGTGACGCACATGCCTGGATTTTTGCTTCTGACATAAGTCTTTTTGGCAGGGTCCAGGCGCTGATAAACATAGCAGTGAAGTTACACTTTGAAGTCGCGCGGGCAGTGCTTCCAAATTAGCTGCGGAGGCTTGAGTTTCATCGCTGACGATTCCCAGCAGTATGCTGTCGACAAAATGCGGCATCACTCTATTCGTCCATCGTGTGCAGCATTTGTCCCCAACGACACTTTAGAACCTCAAACAGCCATATGAATTCTTTTTGCTTCCTGCGACCAAGCCATGAAGGGTTGCAGTAATTGGGAGAGCCGAGTGCGACGGCCCGAGGCATCCGCGTGCGCCAAGGCAAGTGTCGTGCCAAACATGCTTGTCGCGGTTTCCTGACCTTACGAGGCCTCGTGGTTCTTACACTGGGGGAGGTGGGAGGTGGGAACGTTCGCGAATCTGTGCGGGACTGGGTGGAGCAGTTTGTTCATGTACGCAAATCAACAGAATATATATATATATATATGTTTGTATACATGTTCAGAAATTTTGGCTTGGGGTACCTGCCTTGACGTTTGGCTCTCTTGCAAGCGCTGCATGTTGAAACTGGGTGAGCAGTTGCCAGCTAGTATTTTCATGCTGGTGCCACTGGACGGCCTGCGCCCGCCCTTGGTGGAGCCTGCGCCTGAAGGTGGTACCGAAACGTCCAGCAATTTCAAAGAGAGCAGTTTGAAGGAAGGGGTGCAACAACGTGGCTAGTTTGTTTGGATAGCTTTCTTTTTTTCGCCACATGGCGAGTGTGGACGCGCAAGTCGCTTTCTTGACGGAAGAAGCAGCCACTGCTTTTGGGCATGCGTTCAGATTTTCGGAATCCTTTTCAACATCCTGGGTCGAAGCGCAGCTCGGCATCACTCGCGGCAGACGTGTGTCTAAGACAACTTCCAACCTTTACAAAGCAGTGTGGAATGCGCTGGCTGAGAGATACCCTGAGCGGCAAGTCGATCGGCCGTCCTGGCCCGAGCCTCGCCCTCTGTGTCATGGCGACGCCCATTTCTTGGATTTTGTCAGAGCCAAGCCTTTGGACGAAAGCATCATCAGAGCCACGTATTCGACGCGAGCAGTGCCGATAGCTGGCAATAAGGATGAAACGGCATTGTTTGATTTGGCATGGAGGAGGCCGCCGCTGAATTTTGACTTGACATGGTCTAGACCATTGTCCAGGAAGCGAGGTCTCAAATCTTTGGGAGAGGAATGGCCGGAGAAGTCTTTGGACAAAATTTTTGTTTCGGAGGCAGGGCCCTTGTCGACTTCGGCTTCTGCCTCTCCTGAGGTTTTCCAAGCTGTTAAATATCAGAGTCGGCCCGGAGGTTGCACAGCCACTTGGCTGGATTGACGTGGAATGCTGGTGAAACACGCCAGGGCCTGGACATAGCATCTTTTGTGGCGAGGACCTGGTCTTATATTTGCTTGCAAGAAGCTGCTGCCTCAACAATTGCGCGTTTGAGGGCCTATGATTACGAGGTTGTATCCCAGGGTGAGCTGGCTGTTGCTATGCCTCGTGACTTTGTCCATTCGCGCGGTCAGTTGGTGCAGTCGCTGGAGCGTGACTGTGAGTTCTAAGAGCGATTTTTGCAAGGTTCGATCTGAAGGCTCCTGCAGACTGGCCCGTGCAGCATTTGGTTTTGGGATCATGTCACCTGAACAATGTCGTTGCTCGCGAGAAGAAAGGCTTGACCCGAGATCTCTTGCAGGAGCTTTTCGTTGTGGCACGAGCACGCGGCTGCGACACCTTGGGTGGTGACTTCAATCAGGGAATCCTCCAGTTGTCTGAGCAGTTGCGCTTGCGGGTTCAGGTGCATAATTTGGAACCGCTACCGACCGCCTTGCTAGGGCACTGCGAAGGTGACTGTTGCGGCTTCACGTATTTGCCAAATTCGCAATTTCTGGTTTTGAATCTGCAAAAACATGGTTGGATACCCTTTTGTCACCGGGACGTCGAGATACGATTATACGATGCAGCATCCCATGTTCCTGGCTTTGCTTTTCATTCGGTCACCAACAAGAGGAGCAGAGGGCAAATGAGTGCAGCGCGCCAAAACCGACAAGACAGAAAGAAAGCGAAGCTGGAGGAGAAACGCAGCGAGCGTAAACAACAGATCCAGAAGTCGTAGGTGTCGACGGACTTCGCTTGTCGACGATAGTAGCCCCTGCGAAGCAATCTCCAGCTGCGAAAATCCAAGTGGGATCAGAGTTTAGGGTTTTAGGGCCTCCAAACTCTAAATCCTAAACTCCAAACCTTAAACCCGAACCCTTAAATCATGAACTTCAGAGCCGCAACCTCATTGTCAGGCGTCGAGGTCTTGCAACCTTTCAGCTCCTGACAGAGTTGTGAGTCGTCGTAATTACAAGGTGTTTAGATTTAGGATGGTATTGATTTTCATAAGCGGCCTGTGGGATTTTGGAGAGACTGGAGTTCACGAGGCCCTTGGAGGCTCTCGAAGCAGGCTTTGAGCAAATTCCGTCAGGTGGCTATGTGCTCATCTTGTGAGATTGTAAATGTTGCATGTGTACATATGCATATATATATATATATATATATATATATATATATATATATATGTATGTGTATGTGTATGTGTGGCAGCATATATATATATATATATATACATACACATATACATACAGATATAGATATACATACATACATACATACATATATATGGATGTAACATTTGGTTTCCCAACCCCCCCAGTTCGCTGGCGAGAGGGCGGGGTTGGCAGCTGGCCATGCGCACCCTGTTTGCCTGCCTTCTTTTTCAAACGGAGAGCCCTTAGCCGGAAAGCCCCAAACAAAACCCCAAACCCCCAGCAGCTTGCAGGTATTACGTGGACATCGACGTGGGCAGCGACTGCCCAGGCAAGCCGAGGCCTGACCGGACACAGGGTTTTCCCAACCTCCCGCGTTCGCTGGCGAGAGGGCGGGGTTGGCAGACGGCCTTTAACAGAGGACGCCGCTGGGGCTTGCGGGATTTAGAGCTGGATGTGCGCAGTCGCAAAGCAGGAAGGCAGAGGCGTGCTCGCGTCGACACGGGCTCGAAGACCAAGGGTTGGAGAAGACATCACCACTCGCGCTGGGCGCACGGGCGTCCTTTCGCCCATGGCCGCGGTGCCGGTGTTGGACATGTACACGGAACACGAGCCACGCCGACCTCTACCGGCAGATTGCGACGGCACTGATAAGTCCTTCGTGGAGATCATCAACCAGTGGATGAAAACTAGGGAGCAGTATGGGCGCCTGCGCCGGGGGCGACCAGGCCAGCAGACCTACTATCAGTACTGTCGGCTCCATGTGGACTGTGGAAGATCCTACCGGCACACCACAAGCGAAGGCTGGCCAGTTTCCTGTTCTGTTGGGTATAGGGAGTAGCATAGTCTGAGTCCGAGGAGATGCGCATCCAGCAGTCTGCGCCCCCTTCGAGGTTTCATATCGTCGAGGCGAAGGGCCAGCACAGCGCCGAGGAGGCCAAGTTTCGGGGAGGTCGCAGTATCCTGGAGCGCAAGCGCAGCGAGTCTTTGGTCGCGGGGACCACGCCACTTCGGATCGGGCTCTACATGCGCTGGCCGAGGCCGACGAGCCCATGGCCGACTGGCCTGCCTTTGATGCATTGCGGGAGGCGAGGCGCCGGCTCACATGTGGTGCGCGCAGGCAGGCTGGGGTGCCGGTAGCAGCAGAGCAGATCCCTCGGTGGGCCAGTTGATGGCTCACTATCCAAAGTACCCGGAAGTCGCGGCGGACGTGATGCAAGAGGACTGGCCGTGGTCTTGCCTGGAAGTGGACAGGGTTCGTCTGCCGGGGGCTGCGGCGGTCGTGTGTGGAAACTTCCGAAAGGAGGTGCGATCGTTCCTGGACGGGCTGCGGCATGACGAACTCATCTACCTCGCAGGCGATGCAACAAAAAAGGTGTTGCCCGGGGATTGGGGCCTGTATCGGCTTTTGGCCGCCGCTAAGCGGTGGGAAGGTGGTGTTGGTTGCACCGCGTTGGTGACGATCGGACTGGGTTTCCTGGCAAAACAAAAGGCCGACCAGGTGGCACCCATCCTGTCCAAGATCTTGCAGTGGCACAGTGAGCGGGGGAGCAGTCTCTGGCAGGCTCACCAGATGATGCAGGACAAAAGCCAGGCTTCCATCAACGCCATAGCCGAAGTTCTGCCGGAGTGCAAGTGCCGTGCGAGGTCAGCTTAAAACCATGCGCAGCAGATTCAAAAGCAACCGAGTGTGCCTTCGCGGCGATCCTTTGCGAGGGCTCCGTGGTGACCTGGAGTAAGCATATCTTGGGTGGCGAAGCAGGGCCGTGCGGAGACTCCGAACACATAGATGCAGCCCTAAACCATAGACCCCTATGAGCCCTTGGACAATGAACCCCTTGAACCTACTGTAGATACAGTAGAAGCTAAATCATTAGCAATAGTATTCTTTATCGTTCCGTATCATGGTTGTACTATGATTGACACCACATCCCCATTGATATTATGAAGACCCGCACCTTCATCTTGAAACCGCTTCTATGCCCCAACCCCTAAATCCCTAAACCCCGACTCCTGGCCGTGATGCTGTCGACTGTTGCTGCCCGCTACCACTACTACTGCTACCACTCCTGGTACTCCGGCTACTACTACTGCTGCTACTACTAGTAGGACTACTACAACTACGACTACTGCGACTACTACTAGTACTACTAATTAATAGTACTACTGCTACTACTAGGAGGACTACTTCCAGTACTAGTACTACTAGTACTAGCAACTATTACGACGACGACTACTACTAGTGCTACCACTACTACTACTGCTACTACTACTGCTACTACTGCTACTACTGCTACTACTACTACTACCACTACTACTACTACTACTACTACTACTACTACTACTACTACTACTACTACTACTACTACTACTAACGACTACTACTTACTACTACTACTACTACTACTACTACTACTACTACTACTACTACTACTACTACTACTACTACTACTACTACTACTACCAGTACTAGTACTAGACTACTTCGGGTTCAAGTCAAAATGCAGGCCCCCAGGTGAGAAATCAGACCGCCCAGGTGAGAAACCAGATCCCCCAGGTCAAATAAAAGATCCCAGGTCAGGAAAAAGATTTGCAGGTTAAAAAAAAGACAGCCCCTTAGGGACATGGCAATGTCGAGGACTTTCTGAGCCTCTTGCGGATCAGCTCTGAGGCCTGGAGGATTCTGCGAAGGAGGTCCCTATACATTCTATATATATATATATATATATATATACATATATATATATACATATGGACTCATATTAGGAACCCAAAAAAACAGAAAGGTATTCGATTTGGGATATGAGGTTTTATCAAAAAGGAGAGGTTATGGTAAGGGAGCTTTCGAAAGCTGAGGCTGAACTCCGGATCCAAGTTCAACGAGGTCGAAACGCAGTGGCAAGGCCGGGCCCCCAAGTTCTGCCTGCCGAGTGCTGAGTAGCGGCCTTCTCGTGTATTGGGGTGTTCTTTGTCGTCGCGGGAAAGAATAACAGACGTAGAAGTAAGTAGTAGCAGTACGTCGTAGTAGTAGTAGTAGCAGCAGCAGCAGCAGTAGTAGCAGTAGCAGTACTAGTAGCAGTATTAGTAGTAGTAGCAGGAGTAGTAGCAAGTAGTTCCGCCACTACCACTATTACGAGTACTTCTGCTACTACTACTACGACGACAAGTACTATTAGAGTCGCAGTTGTCTCCGTGGGAAAGCTTCCATGGCTCCGCAGCGTATTCGGCCGGTTGTTCGTACTTTCTGCGGGTGCACTGCAGTTTAACCGCCGTCACGGTTCTCACTATGAAAAGCCGGTCCAGTATAGCGGCCAGCAGTGGCTGCAGCTGTGAAAGATTCGGACCTTACCCCCTTCCAACCTCGAAATCCACAACCCACGAACCTTCGGGCTGTGCGTCTTCAACCCTGCGATCTGTACTGCCCTCTCCAAAGAAATATCGAGACTCAGAAGAAGAAGCAATCACAGCTATGCTGAAGAAGGGTGGTATTGGCCGAAACCCAAGCATGTCCACAGGTACGGTTGATGATACAAATCCTGCATTACCTTAATGACCCTAGACTATGGGAGTGATGGCATATTCCTTATCATGGGTAATGCAGGATTTATATCATCAACCGTAGTAGTCCTAAAGGTAACGACACTGACGCCCCCATCCTTCGCGATGCCCCGGCACAGTTGGCACTTACTCCTACAGAGACGAGTCCGACAACACCTTCCACATCATGGACATGGAGACCTTCGAGGCGCATGGGGCTACCAAACTTTAGCTATCTATCCATATCTAGTACTATCTATTTATCCCTCTACCGCATCGCTGTTGAAGGGCCAATGCATTTTGGAGCTGTCGTACAGGCCTGAATAATTACGTTTTATGCGATCGTGGGTAAAAATGCATTGTGAGTCCCTGTTGGCACAGCATCCTCCAGCCTCTTCTTGTTGGGATTGAAGGGATAACACACGCTGCTTTACCGTGCTTCACCTAACTTGCCACCCCCCAAAGCTACATAAGCCCCGATGCTAGAGGCGTTTGTAGGGCCAACCCTTCATAACCCTTCAACCAGTCCCCAAGGACAACGCAGTGCCAGCATCATTGATCGGTGACATCGGCGAATGGCTGACCGAGGCGGCCCAGTCCTGGTTACAGTAAGTGAAAGCTCCACTTGTCTCAGCAAGGCATCACGAAGTTGTTGAAGCGATATGTATATATATATATAGAGAGAGAGAGAGAGAGAGAGAGAGAATCCTCTCGAAAGTAGTTTTCCTGAAGTTCAGACATGTTGATTACTACAACCCTTAACTCAATTACAGGGCATTGGGTTGAAGATCGCCACTTTGAGGCAGGGCTGAGGGTAGCGCTCAGGCCCTGTTCATCGGAGAGAGTAGCAAGGAAGTCTTCTCCTCTGGTGGGGCTCCGAACCCATGCGCAGCTTCCCTGTTATGATTATAGTATGATGCGCCCCAAAACCCTATTCTAATTATGAAGGCCCTCCCAGCAGGGACCTCCTTAACCAGAAATGCCTTAAGACCCAAAGCTTTATGCTCGCGACCAGAGCCCGGACCCTTAAACGCCCGAAACTCCTAAGGCGTGCAGTGACCCAAAAGATGCTGCGCCCCCGAACTGTGAGCAGGGCATGCAGATTGAGTTCGAAATCTACGAGGGCAAGGTCATCGATATCCAGGCCCTCGTCGGGCTTTGTTTCATGAGGCTTTAAGATTGGTGGCAACTAGGAGCGCAGTCGGAGCCCAGAGTCCCAAAACAGCGGTGAAACACACTTCATGCTGCCATGGAAGCTATGGCCGATGCCGGCAAGAGATCTGGTGAAGGGCAAATGCAAGGGAGCCGGGAACCCCAAACAGCTGAAACCCACATGACATGCTCAAGAAACATTCGCTTGCGACGAGGCTTTTGGAGGCGATAGTCCAAACTTTGGAGGGGATGTAAAGCTGTGACAGCTTAGGGCTCAGAGTTGTGTTGTGCTGGCACCCTGGAATCGCGACTATGTTGCTTCGCAGCCTGACAAGGTGCCCGATGACATCGTCTTGGAGGTGACCGAAATTGTGTCGAAGAAAGACAGTGGCAAGGCTCGCCGCCTAATCTCTCAGAACAGCGCTTAGCACTGCCATGAACACTCACTGGCGGCAATGCTACGGCAGAAGAAGGATGTCTTGCTTGCTTGCTTGCTTGCAAAATAACCGAGATGATGCCCGCAATCGAAGCCAGGATGCGCTCGTCCAGCTTGAGAATGGCGTCAACAGGCAGGCGCCCGCCTACATCAAGGCGGCGTCTGCGATGTAGCAAGTGCAATAAAGCGAGGCTTCAATCAGTGAGGCTATTTAGGTGCTTCCCTTTCATATTCATAGTACAGACCCCAAGACACCCTAGCCATAAAGACCCCGAGAGTAGGCGGGTTGAGGCTTTGGGCCGCCGGCCATGAAGCCTAAAGCCTGAAAAAGCCCCGGAACTTCAAGAACGAACCTGAGGGTTTTTGGAACTCTGTATCCTTGCCTGTCGCGGGCTCAAGGAGTTAGCACCGAGAAGTTTCTCCTCCAGTGATACAGACGGATGGGGGCTCTGAAGCTGCCACGGCACATGGGGCTTACCCAGGCTATGGCGGTCGAAACAGCAGCGGGCAACTTCACTTGTCCCTGCGATCGCAATACAGTCGCCTCAACACTGACATGCAGTACATAGATATAGAAGAGGTAGTGTCTAATGTATAATATAGAGTATAAACAAAGTCCTTCTTGGGATCGGAAGCAGAGAGATGGACTCAGACTCAGGAAGCCGAAAGCTCCGAAATCCAATCCCGGAGCTCTGCTTCCTTCGACACTTAAGGATGGGGGAGTTTCCGAAAGTAGGGGACCATAATATAGTATCCTAAATAGTAGGATCCTAATTATATAAGGACCCCAAAATAAGGTACCCCTAATTTTCGGAAACTTCCATGTGTTTGGGCTTCATTGCCCAAAAGTACCCTTACAATAGTGCTGCGTTGGTAGGTTCGGGTTTCGTCGCTGCCGATGATGACACGACTTCGCTGACCCTGAACCCCCACAACCCCAAACCCTAAACGGCCCATAACCCTCAAGCCAAAAGCGCTTATAGCTTCAACCCCTTAACTTTATACCCTGTACAGCCACCGCCGCGAGGTGGGCGATAAGGTTCAGATCAACAAGAAGACATTCGAGATCCAGAAGCGTGTCGACTGAGCCGAAGTACTTCGTCCAGCAGCTCCGCATGTTCAGGGTTCTGGTGTCGAGGGCTTTTCAAGACTTAAAGTGGGTGTTTCTGGTGTTGTTTATAGGGTTTCGGGCCAGGGTGTATTTCAACAACAGCTTGTGCTACACGGGCTTGCAAAGGGGATTCTTCCTCGCTGGACGATTCGGGATTTCAAGCGAATCCTTGCAAAAGCCCCCAACGCCACCTTGCCTCCCGCGGAGTTTCATCTGACCTCACTTCTTCCTTTGTCGTGGCCGCGGACCGGGGGACTCCCAGTTTAGGACAGGTGCAGGCAAACTGAAGGGATGCTGCGCTTCTACCGTATCAACTCCAGGACATCCGTAGGCCGCCTGATGGATCTTAGAGAGAAACCCGAGTTCCTGAACCCAAAACCCTGAAGCTCGGCGGAGCTGCTGAAAATCCGTTTAGATATGCAGCTTCCGGAGAGCCCGAGTCATTTCTACAGTATAGTATAAGAGTATAACTGATATCGAGTGTTTTCCTTGTTGGGAATATTTCGGTCGCGGTTGAAACCCGACGTTAGCGGATAAGTTTACCTGTTCACTAATGTGATTTGCGCACAGCAAATGTGGAGTACACACCCAAACCTGCTCGATGCAACGATGATTAGCACAGCATGATCTTTTTAATTCACCCCACCGTAACAGCATTGACCAACAGTCATGGAAATTCCGGGCTCTCCGGACTCTTGGCGAATACCAGTTTTCTCAGCGCCCACTTAGCTGTGCAGTGGATGCTTTTTTCTGTTCATTTCTGCCGCTTCTGTGCGAGCCGTTCCTCCTGCAAGTTGACATCAACAACACTTTCAACCCAGGGTTAAAGACCCTCATGAGCTTTCGAGGCTCAGCCGGGCCTCAAACTCCTTAGGAAATCTGCAATATATATATATATATATATATATATATATATACATATATATATATATATATATAGGATACCTATATTTTTATGTATCCTGAGCCGGTGACCCCATCGTCCGCTGGCTCAGCACCACCGACCCCAAAGCCTTGACGCCCAAATCCTTGAGGGCCTCCAGCGCCCAGTTTCACCCCCACCCCCACCCCACTGCACAGTCCGAATGGTTTTGATCGCCAAGCTGTTAGACCCAGACCGTAACACGTATGACAGGAGCAGAGAGAGCAACATTTGGAGAAATTGGCACGCACACCGAGATGTTCTGAAGTTTGGGACGGCAGCGAAGATAGCGCATCCAGCCGAGAACTTCCTACATGACATCAACTGTGGTTACCAGAACGGTTGCCGAATCCGTGGCTCTTCACTGCTGTCCGTTCTGAAGCGTGGTGAAGCTAAAGTCGCCAAACGCAGCAAGAAAAGATGGTTTCGGAAGCGATCCGGGAAGCGTATACAGCCTAGGCGCATGCACAAGTTTCTGTTCCAAGGAAGTCTTGCACAACATCGCCAAGCCCAGTCCTCTGAGTGTTGGGGACCCACGAGCCCAACTTCCAGTCAAGCTCAGAAAACTAAAAAGTATCGGCTATGTGATTGACAGGAGTTTCAGGCTAAATCTAAACAGTCTCGGCTAGAGTTTCTAGCTTAATCACCAGTTGCATAGAAAGACGACGGCTGAGGACAGTTTTGTCCGCAAGTTTGTCTTTGCGCGTCATTGAAGCCTAGAGTTGCGGGCCGGCGGGCCCTGATATGGGAGTTTCCGAAAATAGGGGCCTGGTCTGGAAGGAAGCCAGAAATTTAACATTACCCCTGGAGAGAATGTCACCATGGTAGTGATAAGCCTACCTTTGGGGCCTCTGGGCTTATTTAGATTTCCAGATTGTCCGGAAGCCTGAGCCCGAGACCAGCAGTCCCGAAGGATGGGAAGTTGTAGTGCTCCCCCGTTACGTGGTGTTGCTGTGTCTTAGGTTGGGGCTGTGCGGCATCATGATGGTAGCGGCGGTGACATTGAACGCCAAAGTTGAAACTGCACTCGAATGACCTCCAAATTATCTACCTGCTTCAGGACTTATTATACGAACTTTAGCTGGCAGACGGTACTCCAATCCGAATCGCCCAAGCCCTAAAGCAATATTCCAAACACGCAGACACAGAGAGAGAGGCAGACGCAAGGAAGCCAAAGCTCTCCAGGTGATCCGAGTCTGAAGACATCTGCCACCCCAAAATGGTAGACCCTCAGCACGCTTCGTGTTTATCGTTGCTTGTCTTCCAGCCTACAGTATGGGTCGCTATGGTCCATGCACTCATGTCAGCGTGTTTCGCTTCGCACGTTTGGTACTGCTACTGGCTATTGGCAGTTCTTGTTGCATTGCTAGACTTTCGGTCTTGTTTTTACCAACTCAGCTGTTCTTCCGATTCTAGGCGCAGCTTGGAGCCAACGCCGACAACGACGACGTGGCCCGCATCCCAAAGGGAAGGAAGAGAGACTCGGGCTTGGGGTGTTGACGTCCAGACCCCTGGAAGACCGTGGCCACTCGCAAAACTCGACACCCGAGCCGGCAAGAACAGTGAAGAGTTCAAAACCCAAGCACTCCGCTGTAGCATCCAAATACCCGTTCAAAAATTTGCCCAGGCCTGATATAGAGCCCCATTCCGCGGTGCAATGTCCAAACTGTAGCCTGGTACAAACTCTTCTTGTAAATGCGAAACCCTAATTCAGTGGTTAGGCCAGGCAGGCCCGTGTTAGAAGAATCCACGGTTTGGGGTCGATGGTTTTTCGTCTGAGCGCTGAGGGTTTCAGGGATCCAGGGCTTCGGGTTGTTTCAGTGCTTGGGACGTGCCCAAGATGCAAAGCTTTGAAGTCCACAACTTGGGTCAAACCAGTGAACGAGCCCCGCAAGAAAAAAGAGGACAGGGCAGGCTCCTACTCCTACTCTACTTAAATGCCTCCAACAGCTGATATTGCGAGGTAATCTAAACCCTGTAAAGCAGAGCCCTTGGTGGGTTTTCTGCAAAAGAGTGAAAGCCCCTGCAGAGTGCAGGAGAGCTTTGACTGAGGCAGAGTCTATTGCATCGTTTTTGGATGTCTTCAAAAGCCTAAAGGTGGGCTTTAAGGGTTTAGGGTTGACTTGACAAGAGCTTGCAGATGTCGCATGCCCAATTCAGGCTTCTACCTACCCCCCAAATCGCAAACCCCAGGTCTCTAAGTACCAGTCAGCTGTCGTGCAACTTCCGCTACGTTTCACTGCGACCCTCCGGACGGCTTCAAAGCAGTGTCTGGCAAAAGGCGACATGGTTCCCAGAGCTTCCGGGTTGACACCCAACGGCATCAGGAAATCCGAAGGAATTGTACTGGAAATCCCTTTCACTGCCTTCAACTCAGGTCTGCAAGTTGAATGTTGGGTGTCTGTTGGGGGACCGGTTGCCGAGGGCTTGGGGGCTATCTCTTCCTCCCGATTAGGTGCTTTGGTTTAGTAAGTCGGACGCAGCTCCTGTCAAGAGTGCTTCAGAATCACAGCTCTCGCAACTGCTCATTCCGGAAGTACAACTGACCCTGGAATTCGGTCATGGCCGACTCCAACACCCACCGCAGCGCCAAACCCCGCTTGTCTCCGCGCGGATCAACAGCGGATGTTTAGCGCCTTCCCTCCCCAGAAAGAACAGCGGACCGGACCCTTTAGCTGACTTGAGCTCCTTGGCTGCAAGCGGTTGCAGGCCCAGGGCCTAAAGTGGAGGCACCCGGGTTTCTCGGTTTGTTTCCGGCCCCTGGCTCAGGATTCAGGGTTAGGTGATTCGGCTGCAGCATCCCAGACCCTTGGATCCTGGCTGATCCACAAGCTCAGAACTTCCACGTGCAATGCTAAACAGATGTTTGCCTGCTGCTTGCTACTTTTACTGATGTTGCAGCGACATTCTTTCCGGCTATGCCTGCTGTCTCTCTTAACTGCTTGTGGCCCCAGCCCTTGTCCTTCCAGCCTCTCCCACGATCCCTAAATTCACAAGCTGGAGATCGACCATGGCCCTAAGCCCTAAACCCTAAAGGAAATCTTGCAGCCCCAAACCTCAGAGCGGGTGTCGGACTTTTGTCGTTCGGGTTTCGGCTTTTGTCGAAAAGAAGGGCTCCTTGCCAAAGCGCTCATCGTAGCAGGACATCTATCCCTCATGACAGAGTCCAATCTGAAGCAACCTTATTGACCGACCCCAGGACATCATGGCTCGCGGCATCATCAAGCACTTGAAGCGCATGTATGCTGCTTGCCTCTCTTCAGAAACGGCAGAAGTGCTCAAAGGGAGCTGGAAAGTAAAAGTTTGGGCGCTCGATGGCACGTATCCGTGATGTCTAAGCCCCGAATGCCCCGCATGAAGCGATTTGCATGCGAAACGTCGGGTGAAGACAGACTAAGCGGCTTCCTGTGTGGCGGGAGGCATGTGTTCGAGCTAAAGCTGTGTGCAAATAAACCTCGAACACGTTCACCTGCCTCGGAGTTTTGCCGTCCTAGGATGACGACGGAAAATCCTCGTGGCCACATGTTTTTTTTTATACGGGTCGGATAGCATTGCATGCTGTGCCAAACTGCAAGTTGCCTGAAAGCCCACGGGTGCGCGGACGGTACGCCGCCTGCGGCGCCTGAGTGCGCCTGCGGTACGGCGTAGTCCGCCTCGAGGCGCCAAAGCACTGGATGCTGGACAAGCTTCGTGGCCGATGGGCCGAAAGCCCAGCTGAGCAGAGCGGTTCTGCGTTTCAATGGGGGGCTTTTCAGAAGGACCCAGAGAGAGGGGTCATATGATATGGGTCGGCTTCCGAAAGCCGGCGGTCTGCTCGTGACTGGCGTGTTTTTCGACTTCCTTGAACCACAAGCCGAAGAAGCCTCAACCAACCCCAACAGCATCACCTAAAAAGGCTCTTAGCGCAAAGCAGTTTTAAGCCAGGGCATTGATAACAGTTTTGGGAGATAGGTTTTCAGGTCCATACTCAATCGAAGGTGTCGGACATTTCGTCTATGATGAGTGTGCACGGCCTCTCTAGATACGCCTACACCTTTAAGCTCTAAACTTAAAATCTCACCCCACGCAAACACCGAGAACATAGCATCCAAATCCTACACAATCCCAAGAGTATTTCAAGAGGCACCGAAGCCTTCTGCCGGTCCCCACAAGCTCCGAGAGTGCATGCCGCTGATTGCCACTTGACGCGGTGATTTGTGGTTTCGACATGCGTCTGAAGTTTAGGAGGTTAGGGTGGGCGTAGGCTTCAATCTGTTCGGGTTGGATTGCTTGGTGTCTTTAATAGCTTCTTGGGGTATGAAAAAAGCTGTATGCAGCGTGAGGAAGCGGTCCTGGGCAAGTTCTTCCCTCGAGCTGTTTCGGGTGGTGTATGGCTTGGAGTTTTTAGTGGGTCGATATTCGACAGGGGATTACGAGGTCCAGGCTCTTTTTAGGTAGAGTTGACGTTTCGGGTCCAGAGAGGACTGAAGACTTTTCCTCCCGAGCGTCCTCCAGAGCTGCTGCGAGGTCATGCTGCGTCAGCGTCTGAAGTATGCGGGAAGCCCCGGCATTTTCGGAATACGGACAAGGGCTCGGGATTCTGGGGTTTCTGGGACCTCCCAAGAGACTGTCGTGTTTCTACCACGACGGAGTAACCACAAGAGATTTTGGGTCGAATCGGGAGCTGCAAGAGCGCAGAGGTTTTGGGGCCTAGGGTGCTCAAAGAGATACGACGCCTGAGACTTCCATTTACAGTTTGGGCCTCACGGATCTCCTCAGCCTCGCACAGTATGAGACTCCGGCCGACCTCTTTGCAACCAGAACTGCCAGAACCCGAAGGTTCCAGAGTGTCACAATCCGCAACCTCTCAGCTTCATGGCGCAAGCTTCGCACCTCTGAATCCTAACATGTCGCAATCTGGGATGGTTTTAGGCATGATTCTGGTGGGGAGAACGAATGAATCTACACCGCAGATCAACCGCCTAAACGAATTCAGGCTTAAGGTTCAGGGTCTTGGGATTGTAGACGCCGGCTGCAAGATTGAAGTTGCCGGTCCCAGGCCTTGACCTACCGTGAGGTGAAGATGCCGCCTGGCTCCGGAGACGATGTGTTTCGGGTAAACCCATGATTTCCCGAGCTCACAGCATCAGCAACCTCACCCATAGCGTTGAGGCGTGACCAGGCAGATCCCCACACGAGGCTCCCTTTCTCCTTTAATGGATGAAGGCTTGCTTGATCAAGGAGCCCGAAGCTGGGTCTGTGGTTCGGGTATATCATGTGGGAATCTGGTCAATTCTGCGGCACCTTTCGCATTTTTTGCCAACATCAATGGGAAAGTGTGTTGGGTCCCATCGACAAAGCTATCTCTTTGTTCTGCGTATCTGACACGCACTCAAGAACCGCATTCATATCAACGAAAAGTTTCGGGCGCCCTAAACACAGCTTGACTACGATCCTGTACTTGTGCTCCTCAAGCTGAGATTAGAACCAGAACGTCCTCAATCCCGCTTCCAGGGCTTTTGCAGACTTCCCGAAGTGAATAGGAGCCTTGTCGAGAAAGTTTTATTGGCAGGGCATCTCCATGGGAGTATTCAAAAACAGCAGCGGCAAACAGTGTAAAGTTCATCGTTGCCATCCGCGATTTCCTATTATGTAGAAAAGCAGCAAGTCATCGCTGCAGCATAGTCTCCTAGTAGGTAACCTTTAACTTTGGGGTACCATAATCCCTATAATCCCAATATCCCTCCAGAGGTTAAGCTTTCGTTCCCAGGGATACTGGACAAGTAGGTTAAGCCTACGGCCTACAGTCGAGACGCCCAGGATTGTCATGCAGAGGCTGATCAAGGTTGCCAGGAGCTTACTCACAGTTTCAGTGGGTCGGGAAGGGGGGGGGGGGGGGGGGCAAAAAAGTGTCTATTGTAGCTGAAGTTTAGATTTGCGCAGAGTCCTAAGCTCTGAAGCCTCTGTAACGAGAAAGGAGGCTCGCCTGCCTTTGCCTTGGGGGTTCAGGGGTCTGGGTCCCCAAAAAACCCTTTCAGGCTCAGCCTCACCGTTGGTATTACCCTTGGTATTGAGGGCTTAACTACTTGTGGTTCGGTTTTGCCAAACTTTTGCAGAGGCGCTGCTCGATCCCCTGGGGAAGCTATAGGATCTGAGGTGCCGTGATTGCTCTGCGGCATTGTGTTTGGTGTCGCTGCCGGAGATTTTTGGGATGAGTCAGGAAACAGGGTACCCCTCAATAGCAGGATCCTCACTACAAGGACCCCAAAATAAGGGAACACCCCAGCCACTCGATCCTGAAATTTACACAAACAGGCATACAGTAAACCCTTGCGTAGACTCCGAACCCCAAACCCGAAGCCGGCATGCCCGAACCCACAGTCCCTTCGGCCCCCAGCGCGACTATCGAAACTCGAGCATTGTTGCTGCATCACCGGCTTCAGCTGAGGCGTCCCAGCATCCAAGAAGAGGTTGTTTGGAACCGCCTAGCCGAAATCCTCCTGAAACTTAAGCCTTCATGGGCTAGTGCTCGAGGCAAACTCGCAAACTCGAACCCAAGCAGCGCAGATATAGGTAGGAACTGGCAAGCAGGTTGAGCCTTAAACAAAGGAATCCATGAGCTCAACCTCAGTTGAATCCTATCCATTTCGGTGTGTAGAAGGGCTGGGGTTTAGGTAGTATAGCGCTGTGTCAGTGTCATAGGACCGAAGATAAGTCAGGTGTCTGTTACAGTACCCGTATCATCGTACCTGCATAATCGTGAGGGGTCTGTCTACTTACAAGATTTGCATGGCCTCCTCTATCGATCGGCCTTGCTGTGCCATGGCGATCAAGACGACATGCAAGCGAGCAAGACGTCCAGCGCGGACGCGAGGACTGCAGGTTTGCTCGAACAAGCTCATGGGTTCAATGTCCACACCCCTGCGATCCTTCGGCATCAAACTCTAAAGAGTCCAATACCCCAGAGGCTTCTGCCAATTCCACGTGAGCACACATTCCAGTTCATCAGACCTCCGAATCTACGGGAATTTCGACCAGCATGCGATTGAGCTCTCGAAAACTGCAACCGGTGGCTGTTTCGATCATTGTCCGAGTTTTCAGGTTGTGCTTTTTCCGATCAGGTAGTCTTCATCCGCGGTTCTCGAAGGTGTCGCCTCCCGCCGAGCTTTGTCAGAAATGCTGTGTGTGCACAGGACTCGCTTGGGCCTGGCCCGTGGCTTCCGCCACTGCCTCATGATCAAACAGGTTCAGGTCTTCCGGGGGCTTGTTTGTGGGATGCACGGTCCTCGTTCGAAGCATACTCTTGTCCAACATCGACCCAGACCCCAACTTGACACCCGAAAGCCCTGAGCCTGAAAGCCTGAGCCCGCATAATACATAAGACTTCGCCACGCCATTCGAAAGCCCAACGAAGAGGGCTTCGGCTCTCGGCCGTACCATGGCACCCCCCGGAGGGCTGGTGGCTTCACCTTGACAGCAGTTGTTGCCTTCGTCGTCTTCCAGAAAGGCGGAACGCAGAAGTCCAAGTACTGACCTTTCTGCCCAGGCCTTTGCAGCCCCCTTTCTTTCAAGCATCGCTTACACCGAAACCCCTTTTCCAAGGGAGCCGTGACCTGAGTCCAGAGGCCCTTCTGCTACTTCGGCATTCGCCAGAGCCCTCTGCCATCGCAGGTGCGCCTGGGCTTTTCAGTGCTTGGCGTGATGAGTGTCAAAAACATCGTAGTCAGTAGGGTCACGGCTCGGAACTATACATCGCGCCCAGCCGATGTTACAGCCATTTAGTGTTGCTGCGGCATATGTCTTGGGGTTCTGAGAACTTTAGGGTTAAGCGGTTAAGCGCTGCAAGCTCTGTAATTGCAAATCTCACTGGGGCTTTCGGTGAGTGCCTTGGTTTGGGGCGTAGGTGCAGGGGATCCTTCATTTGAGCAGCAAGTTGGCTCTTGTGCAACGTCGAGATGTTGTCAACCTTCGTGAGACCCGCTGTGCCTTAAAACCGATAATTAACACAAAGCCCACGATCCTCAAGCTACAAGAATCCAAATGCGAAGCCTAAACCCCCCCCCCCCCGAATTCGTGGGAGCCTAGGCCTAGGATAAGCCCAGGACTTGAAGCGAGACCAGCCCCACAGTCCATCCTGCGAACCCGAAGAACAGAAACCCGGAGCCCCCAATCTCCCAAACCCTTTACTACAGGGGCCTACTGTAAATTACCAAGCCTATTTTGGGGGGGGGGAGGGGGTGCCAGTCGTGTGGGGGGTGGGATTGTGCCATTTCACGTATCCCTTGAATCTAAGTGTCCCCTAATACTAGCATCCAGCCCAAAGACCTCGAAACCCTCAGGCTTCCTCCTCCAGTGATGCCCTCAGCGATTCCTCGGGGTTGGATCAGGGCTCGGAGTCTTCACGCTCAGGCCAGGCCAGTCACAAAGACTTCACGTAGGCCGAACGGCTTTTACCTCTATACGCCTAGAAGACCAAAAAACCCGAAACCCGAGATCCTAAACCCAGTAGGCGCAGGCGGCAAAAGGTGCCTTAAAACAGGTTCTCAAAGCCCCTTGCCCTCTGAGGTTCAGAGCTGAGATTCTCAGGTCCAGGATCCGTCAGAGGCTGCGAGGCCCCAAAAAGCCGGAGGAAGAAAATACCCATGGCCAAGGACCCAAGCGAGAGTCATATGAACAGTTAAGAGCATCATAAAAATGATAGTAATCGAAACAGCCGAATTACTAACAAAACTTTCATAGTAACAGTAGTGATGTATTCCCGCTCACCCTAAACTCCACGGAGACCCTGGTTTAGGGTTAAGGACCAAGCGTTTAGGCTGTAGAATTCGAGGGTTTAGAGCAGTCCAGTTTCGGGTTTCAGGTTAACAAGATCAACCAGGCATGCTTCTTGCACACCCAAAACTGCGATCGGTCATTGTGTTCCAAGATTGTAAACCCTCGCTTCTTGCCTGAAAGGCTGAGCCAACACCTAAGCCGCGAAGCCCAGATCCCACAATTTAGTCATGCTACAATCTATTTCAAAGCGTTTTTCTGCTTGTGAAAATTCCCCAGGATTAAGATTTCCTGAGGCCTGGCAGCTCCCGGCGAGCGCTGCTCTCTGCAGCGGCTCTCCTGAGTCAACCCCTCGCCAAGGCAGCAACGACCTGAATGCACCAGACGCTTTGGGTTTCGTGCTTTGTGAAGTGGGCTGTTGTGTCTTTGCGTATTTTACCACAGAGAATCGAGACTGTTCCGGAGCTTTTATGCTGTCCCGCTTCGTATATTTGTAGCACAAGAATTCCGCAACCTTAGTCCCATAGCTAAGGACATGTCAATCATGTAGTTTTGTGTTTGAATGGGCACTTTCGCGAGTTGCAGGGTGTCGCAGGCTTCAAAACGAATCCCCTAATTTCCTTGTTTTCTTACTCTCGTAGAATCCTGTCTCTTTGGTTCGGCCTTTTTAAGCCGCAGGAACTTGGCGCAGAAAGAGACGGATTGAACAAACTCGACGCCTCAGACCGCATTATACACATATATAGCTACCTATCCATGGATTTATCTGTCGATGTCTCCCTCTCTCTCTCTCTCTCTCTTGCTCTCGCTCTCTCGATTGAAGCCAGATACATATAAATGCGAATATAAATGAATAAAAAAAATATATATATATATATATATATATATATATATATATATATATATATATTCACGTGGAGTGTGTTTAAACAGTTTAAACCAAGGAACTTCGACATCTCGCTCGGAGTGCACATGTCACTCTAGAAATAGAGTGGACGAGCCAGACGAACTGATGCGGTAAGCCCCAAGACACAACGGGACCAGGACGCAGCCTCCGCTGCACCCGCAGAGGTGTGTCAAATTGGCTGCATTGGGAAAGATTCAAAAGGAATTTGCGGCGCAGGTTTTCGGATTTGGGGCTGTGCGAAGCTGCATCCCCGAAGCCCTGACCCCGACAGCCGGAGCCCTGGACCCTGGTTCGTTCGAGATGCAAGGGCTTTTTTGGGAAGTAGCTTTCCAACTAGCCTTCGAAGTACCGAGTTGGGGCCATTCGGTTTGTAGGCCTGCGAAAAGCCTGCTTAACAAGCCCCGTCATTTTTACGGCGTTTGTCTTGTACTCGCCAGTTCCTGCAGACATGGCCAATGACCGCAGTGTTTACAATGAGAGTAGCTGACCTTTCTAATTCCAGGCTTTTGCTTTGTGCTTCTCTGTAGCTACTGAGACGCCAAGATCGCATAGTCCAAGAATGAGAGATGCCGCCTTTCCTGTGCAAGTCCCAGGTGATGACAGCTGCCTCTCCAAAATATTTGGACACTGGGCAGGTGATAGCATGGAATCCTTACTTGTATCTATCTTCTCCGATGTTACCCTGCAGCATGCGAGTGCGCACCTTATCTCCCTCCGTCCATCAGCCCAGAGTGTCATACTCTGCAGCCTTCGCATGCTACTTCACAGATCGTTGTGGCTCGAGGGTCAGTGTGCTGGAATCTTCCACCCGCAGGGTACGAAGCATCACTATAGTACAGTCAGCTCTTTTCCAGGGCCCTTTCCCTTTCTTCGCCCAGGAAACTTCGCGAATCCGAATTCCCAGGAGGAGCGCGACATCTTCTTCTCCTTTAGCATCTTGGCAGAGTCTCAGAGAGAGCCCTTCGCAGATGAAGCTGTGCCATTTCGAGGTTTGGTATGTAGTGAATGTAGTGCAGGGGCCTCAATAGCTGCCGCAATGTCAAAAATCGTGGTTGCAAACCGCATTATGTGACTACAACCATTGGAAACGATCGGAGCGACAACGGCAAGAAATGACATTCTGGAGCAACACTTCCAAGATGCCTTCAGGCGAGGAGAGCATCACGTACGCTTATGGCACGATCACCCCGAAGTCGGCGCTTTGGCTTTGATTCCCTGGAGGTTTAGGGTTGAGGGTTCAGGCTTTGACATGGAATCGTGAGGGTTTTTTGGGGCTTTCGCAGTGCGGTTTGTTGATGTTCCTAGCGATCCTTGCGGCGGCGGAGGGTGGAGGATGAAGGTTCCTGACTCTGCCACCTTGGTTCGACGATTCATACTCTGAGAGCGACGTGTCTTGTGATGCAACCCGGCATTCGATCATCCCGAAGCCTGGCAAACCGCCTGTCCTGTGCGCATCACGAGGCTCCTGGAAGAGATCCCAAACAAAAAAAGTTTGAGACCAGTTCAACCACATGTAAGATTCAATCCTCTCCAATTATTGAGCTCCAAGCGGTGCACAGCACAACGACATCCCGACATAAAGCACCAAACCCTCCGTGCGCGATCGAAGCGAAAGCTGCGCATTCCAAGGTGCGCTCCGTGCTCAAGCGCTTGGAATTCCAGCCGTCAGTGTCTTGACTCGGCTAGCATGGGTTTTCATTGCCACCCATACTTGGCGGGTATTTCATCCGGGTTTTCGGAGTTTCTATTGTGTCGGCTTTGGGATGTTACTCGGCTTTCACGCTCCGAGCGATTCGAGGCCCAGGCGGGCCAAAGCCCCAAGACACTCCCTCATCAGCGGCAACTCTCGAATCACTGTCATAATGAGGACCCCTGAGCAGACTAAACCCTAAAACCCTGAGACAGCAAAAGCATAAACGTCACTAGACCCTAAATCCTCAACAGCCCTGTACCCTCAGCCTATCTCAGCCTTACCAAACCCTCAACCCCAAAACCCCACCAAGTCCTCGCCTTTTCCGCTTGTGAGGACGTCTTTACGGACCTGGGCTCGGGTATCGGCAACGTGGCCCTGCAGGTCTATGCGAACACCCCGATGCGAGCCTCGGCTGGGCTTTTAGCTAGAATGTCCGGTTTGGGCATCGGTTAGCGGTGCAAGGTCTGGTGTGGGGTTCAACAAAAGCTGCGATTTTAGATATACATATATATATATATGTATATATATATATGTATATACTCTAAGTCTGTCAGCTGTTTAGCTTTGCACTGCGTGCGTTCCTTCAAAGACGAAGGCCTGCAGAACAGGATTCCCAAGCTGCCCTCAGCCTGCAAGCATCCGGGGCGTGCAAAGCTGAGGGTCACGTTCGGGATCACTTAACGAAAGCATGCTTCAACACGCCTCAGAGGCAAAGAGGACCCGTAACTACGTACCCTCACACCCCCGCTGTCTTTACCAAGAACGCGTTCGTGGCATCGAGTTCGTGAAGGAAAGGCACAATGATGCCGTGAGGCATGCAGAGGAATTCCAGCGCACGCACCAGGCTCCCCAGCTCCAATTGGGGTTAAGAAGGCTTCATGGATAAGGCTCTGAAGGTTGTCTAGGACCCTTGAAATACGGTGTTCCAACCTTGTTTTTGAGGTTGTTTCAAGAAATCAACCTTCCAAATTTTTACTCGGAGTTTACACCAAGCCGAACAATTACTTTTTTTGCAACAGCCCCACACTCTTCCAAGTTGCAGAGTTTGCGAGAGCCTGAAGGCTACAGTTTGGGAATGATTGGATCATCAAAGACTGTCCTCGGGAGACAACGGCATGTCTTCTGCCTCCACCGGAAACGAGATTAGTCGTCTTCATGATTGTTGCCAAGCCTTGGAGTGGATCGCACGCCGCTTTGAGGAACCTACTTCTTCTTGCTTGTTGTGACCCTACCGGCCCTGTAGTCGATGAAGGTTTGATGCTAAGGCAATGCTGAGAATCGAGAATCTTGAGCCCAGAAGGCAACAAGCACTTAGACTTAGACTCTGAGACCTGGAGCACTCAGTTCGGAAAGCCGATCTTCTATCTGCCTTTTAAATGACTCGAAGCTCAAGCTTTCGTTGGGTGAGCTCTTTAAACACTTCTTGGAAGCGTGCGGGACCTGGTACTGCCACGTTTCTCCTGCGTTCTCCGGTCTAAGCCCGAAGACGCCTATGGTTAAGGCTAATGTAAAAAGCGCTGTTTAAGAAACCCTGTCCCTATAACCCCCTATATAGTAGGACTCATATAAGGAACCCGAATAAAGGCCCAAGGTTTCTTAATCAGGTTCCTACAGTACCTCCAACCCACCAACTCTTACAGACCCCTAGAGGCCCTTCAACTGAACCGTAGACCGAGACAACTGCTGTCTCTGAAAACAAACGGAAATTCTGCGGAACTAGTACGGTCCTTCATCCTTCAAACCAAGCTTTCGGGCCGTGCGCTGTGCCTTTCAAGAGAAGCTTATCAGAATCCCAGCTGTTCCCAAATCTAAACTCTCACCCAGAGGGTCCATTTACACTACCATTATGGAATTAGGTCCCGAAAGACCATCCGTATTATGGCGTTGGGGAACTAATTCCTAGAGTATATGGACCCTCTGGGTAAGCCTACATACCCAGACCTGAGCGGCCCCACTTTAGCTAAGCTTGGGGAGCTCCAAGAGACAGGTTAGCAAGGACAAAGAGATCCTGCTGGTGAACGGCGACGTTTGCAAGGAGTGTTCTTGTGGGTTTCGGTCTCGGAGAACACAGAATCACGCTTCAGTTAAGTTTAGCCAGGGCTTGGGTCTGTTGGCTGGGCTATGTAGTATGCTAAGGTAGTGGACGCATGCAGACGAGCTTGAAGCCCGGATCTGACAAAGCGCCATGGAACAGCCAGAGAGGGGCATCCCAAGGCAACATCCCGTAAGCAGGATGCAAGAGGTGATACTACGACGAGCCCTGGCCTAAACCCCAAGGAGGACTGGTCGGACTCGACCATCGTCTTTTCTTCCTCCACGTGCTTCGACGACCGGGCGATGGAACCTCGGCCGACATGTCGATCAGAAGCGCAAGAGCAACGGTGAAAGAACACAACACAAGAGCAACAGCAGCGCCAGCAACGCGAAGCAGCCACAGCAGGGGAGCCAGCTACAGCGGCAACAAGAGAAATAGCAAAAAGTAAGAAGCTTACCAGCAAGAAACGATAGCAACCGAGAGCAACAGTCTGATGTTCAGCGTTCCGAGTCAGGCCGGAGGCTTTCGGAACCGTGCAACTGCAGCACACTTAGCTACCGCCCTGGCTGGGGTTCTCAACAACTTTGCGGTTTTGGACTTGTGGGAACCTGGAGCACGGTGCAGCTGATACAACGGATTCCTCACAAGCTTCACAAGGCACAAGCTTCAGCACCCGCGGACGCCGGAGAAACATTTTCGGCACAAGTCTGTTGAGTCCTGGAAGAACCCACACAAAGCACACACCGAAGCTGCAGAAAGCGATGGAAGCGCCCGAGGAGTGCCTTCGACGTCTTTGCGAAGAGAACTCCAAGCTGAAGTATCTGGGCAGACAGCCCGGACGGATGGCCCTCCCAAGTAGTAGCAGTGCTGCTATTGGAGCTAGTGGTATCTTGGTGTACCCGTTGCTGCGACTTAAAACGGGCAGGGCCACTGACGTCCCATGCTTCACAGCGTCCCTGCTGCTGTCGTCAAATTCCGCAGTTGTGTGGTGCAGTGTAGTTCAAAAGATCCAGCGACGTGTCGACCCCTTACGCCTCAACGCCCCAAGAAGCCCTTGCAGGTATCTGGTAACGTCACGCGAGCTTCCGCCGACGTCACTGAGGTCACTTGGGGCCCCTCAGCTGAACGTGAGCCTCAGTCAATAAGTGCGTGCCGTTGTCGGTTCTTTGAAGTTACCTGCTTGTAGATACATGCACAGGTTTCTATACACCGATATACCAGTGTCCACATACATATTACAGTACAAGGAGATGAACCGAAACATGGGCAAATGGACAGACATCTGTGGGACTCGGGTTGATGCGTGTGTCCTGTTGATGTGATGTTGCAAGCATGCAGGAATTGATCAGCACTGTCCTCAGAACCAGCAATGGTGCGCAAATAGAAAGCACTAACCGTGCCGGAACTATCTATTGACACAGGAGCTTTTCAAAAGAACATTCGTCAATAGTCATCGTCGTCACAAACATGGTTGTCATTGCCATCAGATAGCATGGATGCCTTATGCTGATCACGATCAGGTAAATTGACAAACAGGTGCCCTCAACGAAACACTTTTCGCTATGTGGAAGCCTCCCCAGGTACTCGAGAGCCTTGAAACCTCCTGGTCAACAAAGAGTGACGTGACCTACTGGGTGCACCTCGGCCCGGAGTCTTCACAGTCTTCATGCCGGCAGCGGGGGAAGGGCCGCTTCGAAAGTGTTCCATGACAACGGCCAAGGTACACCAACGTACCCGACGTGAAGCTGCGAAATGCCTGATTCGAGTTGACCGTCTGCCGGCAGTAGCTATAGGCTTCTTTGCTGAGGCTTTACGTGGTAGCCTCGGACAGCTGCGACGCTTGCGTGCAAGGGAGAAAACCTGCCGCCTCTCTTCGAAGTCTTGAGGCTCTTGTAGGCAGACGTCGTGAGTTTTCGCATTCAGATGGCGTGGCGGGTCAAAAGTTCGGAATCTGATGCTCCCAGACGCACCGCGCTCAAATAGGAACCCGAAGCCTTAACCACAAAGCTGCGACGCCACACTCCAAGCCCAAGATGCTATGCTAAGCCCTAAACCCCGTGCTCCTGCTCTGGGCATGAAGTCTGGCGCCCTGTCATGTTCCCCAGATTGCCCTACCGATGTCCAAGGACGGCAAGGTCCGCACGGACATGTTCTACCCAGCCGGTTTCATGGACATGGTCCAGATCGACAAGACCAAGGATTCAAAAGTTGTGTTCGTGCGACTCCTCATTGACAATTCGCGCACCCCCAACACGCAGACCCCTTTTCGAGCCCAGCTTGACGACAACAAAACTTACTGCGCCAAGCCCCACATCCCAAAAACAAAGCCCGTACCCTTGAAGAGATAAATGGGTGGTTGTCAAAAATAGGGTCCCTTTTCGGGTACCCTAAATATTAAGTGCCGTACTATAATAGGGACCCATAAAGGGACCATAATTTTGACAACCACCCAAACAAAGACCTGAAGAAGCTGAGCCGTAGCCTTATAGCCCATGCCCTGTCGAGGCCCCAGCAGTTGCAGTAGACAGCGGCAACAGTCCTCCTCTTGATCCTTTATCGTCGTCGCGATCATGAGTACTAGATGAACGGATGTGCAAACCATCCGACTCAGCAGAGGAGCCAGCAGCAACCAGAGCAAGGGAAGGAGTAGGCGGCAGCAACGATCCCATGTTCTGCAAGCAGGAAAAACCACTGGCGCCCCCAACCCCCCCTATCACCTTCCAAAAGAACGCGCGTGTCCAGGAGAACTTCCGGCTGCTGTACAACACCAAGGGCCGCTTCAACCTCCACAAGGCTAGGCCTTTTCTGGAAACCGCCTACAGCTCGAAAGCCATTCATAAAGCGCTTTAGGATGGAAGGGGGTCAGGGGATCTGTGATGCTTCTTGTGTGCTTGGATGTACGCAAGTGTTGGCGCGAAGCTGCTTCTTCTCACTAGCCAGCATGGCGTAACATGTCAAGCGCGCTCCAAATTTGCACAGTAGCGGGTAGAGGAGAGTGTGCAGCTTTGGTTGAAGAGAAACACTGCCTTAAACGTTTGGCGCCGCACTGCCATCTAGAGATATGTGTATCTGTATATATGCATTATAAAACAAACAAGCGTTCAGGGGTTAAATGGTTACGGCTTCGGAGGCTTGGAGGTTCAGGATTTAGAGTCTAACAACGCCCTGCATGTTTCCAAGTTTTCGGTTTCAGGGGCCCTTCGTCCACGGTCCAGGATTGTGTGGTTAGGGGTTGATGTGGACTGAACGGCTTGCGGTCGGTGGGGCTTCGTGTGGCTTGGCTGAAAGGTGTTTCTGTTCGTGGTTGTTGGCTGATCCGCGCAAGCACTGTACCTGGCAGCGTCACCTTCAGTGTCTTTGTGACAGCATGTGCTGTGGCTTCAGGATGTAGATCAGGCTCCCCCAAGCAAGACTGTCACCAGTCTCTGTTCACTAGTCCCTGCATGATGGCTTTTGGGTTCGTGTGTGTTGCTTGATTGTCTCACCGTGCCGACAATCGGTTCGAGATCCGAAACCATTCCAGGCCGAACCCAGACGCTCGCAAACGCCAGCCTCACACCCGAAATCCCAAGACTGTGCTTTTCAGACTTCGGTCCGAACCCCCAAAACCTAGTAGCCGAGTAGGCAACCTTTAACCTTTTTGGGGTAGTATATATATATATATATATATATATATATCCGAAACGGTTAACCTTTATTTCCCCATGATACCCGTCAAGTAGGAAAAAGCATCAAGCCCAAGCCCGCGACCCTAAAGTCGGCTCAGGTGGCGAAGGAAGAGGCCAGCTACAAGCTTTGCCGCGTCAAGCGGGTGACCCGAGGCAGGGACGCCACAGTGTTCTGGATCAGGCTGTAGGATTTAGGGATTCAATCAATGTGGGTGTCTAATTATAAGTAGCGAGAGGACAGACAGTGTAAAAGATCAGGAGCCCGTCTTCCCAACAAGCAACCAAGAACATTCCGAAACCAAACCTGCCAGCTGTTTAACTCTTCATCTTTGGCCTCAACTACAGGCGTAAGACAGAGAAGCATGCCTATCTTTCCTACATTCAACCTGAGCCCTAAGCCTAAACCGCGAGGCCTGGCATTCAACCCTCAAGGCTGAACTGAGCCTCTGCCGCCAGGCCCGCGTGGCGTCCCGTATGCACAGACCCACGACGGCCGCACCATCCGGTATCCAGATCCGGACATCAAGGCCTTTCGAAGCGAACGGCTGAGCGAACTTCCCAGTCCCCTCGGGTTAGGGTTTAGGGGTTTAGGGTTTAGGGTTCAGAGTCTTCGAGACGTATAGAGAATGGACAGTTTCTAGTACCGGCTTTGGGGGGCCTCCCTGCTGCCAGACCCCCGGACTTGTAGTCCAGGACCAGGTTGTAACGGGTTTAGGGCTTAGGGCCTAGGGGGAAGCCTGACGATATAACTTGATGTGACTTGGCCTCAAGATCGTTAAAAGAAGCTCCTGTGTAGAGTACATTGGGGTCATGGGGACACTGATAGTAGAAGTTACTTAGCAAGCAAATCCTCTAGAGCTGCCTTTGCCACAGGCTAACGACACGATCCGGTGCCGCCCTCGAAGTGCACGAGGGTTCAGGGATCTAGAAATTGGGGATCAGGGTTCAAGGCCCAAGCACAAACGACGATTGGAAAGGGGTTTCAGTACTTGATCGCGAAGGGTGGAATAAACCAAGGTTGCAATTAAGATTCAACCAGAATGGCGATCATAGACACAGGTGCAGGATGTCTTGTTGCTGGCGGTCGTTGCCCTCGTACCAGCATGCAGAAGACAAGCATCAAAGACCGCTGGAGGGTTGCGCCGACAGGGTGCAACAGCTCTGCCGGCTGGCAAACTCCTACTTTCTAATCTTTGCTCGGCTGCCGCTAGATATATTGTCGATCAAGCAAGATCCCGTCCGTTCTCCGGCTCACTCCTGGCTCAATCCCAGAATTAGATTCGCTGGTTACCCGCGAACCATGGATGTGGTTGGATTGATTGTCTTGTGTCGGGTTCTGTTTACGGCTTAAAGGTGCTTCGCACACGCAAGACATTTGCCCCCGGAATAAGCGACGGAGTATAGCTGTGGTTCACATCGGGGCTGTCCGAACCATGGTCCCTGACTCTGTGGGGTGCAGCATCTCTCTTTTCATGTTAGGCCCTATCAGGTACCGAAGCTTGGATGAGATAGTATAGCATGGTAGGACAACCCAAGGTTGGACCTTTCAGATATTTCCTGAGCTTCCGCCTGAGGTTTGTGTTCCTTCACTTTACATAGTCCAGAAGCCTGCAAAGTCAATCAGGTAGCCGAGCTCTGGGCTACGATTTGTCCGACTGCAGCACCCCCATGTGGCGATGCGGTACTGTAACCGCCGACTTAGCCTACTGGTGCTGGGACTTCTTCTAGTTCTAGGTATCTTGCTAAACTTGCACCGCATCTCCGACAAGCGCCCACCTGCAGCTGCAGCCGGCACCGTCGCCAGAAAGCAGGAGCTTGGCACAGTGGCAAATCTTTCTCAATCCGAGTCGTCCGAGTCGTCTCAGACGGAGTTCACCACCACAGAGGCGGCCCAGGCACAGACATCAGAGGTGCCCCAGGCAGAGGCAGGGGCTTACCAGTCGCGCTACCAGTTCACAGCGGCGACGTTGCCGGCCTTCCGCCCCTGCGAGGAGAAGTTGCTTGGACTGCAGAAGTACCGGAAGCTGCAGGACGAGCATGTGAGCCTTTGTGGAGATGGTGCATCAAAAATTCTCTGTGCCCAATATTCGGACAAGCAGAAAGTCTGGTCCTGCCAGATGTATGACGTTGTGGAGGTTTTGGATCCCGAGGGGACGCTGCACTGGGTTGCCCAATGTAGACTGAACAAAAGCATCGACCTCATGGACTTCTTGAAGCCGCTTCACAAGAAGCATCCCTTGAAGGCTTCGATGCAAGTCCGCAAGAAGCTGGACCCGAACGCCGGAGGCGGACTCAACCATGTCTTCACGATCCTTGAGGAGAACGTAGAGGGTGAGCTCGTCGATCATGTAGCGGCTGCCTTGACAAAGTGGAGGCTTCAGAGGAAGGAAACTTTTCGGGAGGGTCTGACCTATGTATCTGCTGGCGACTGCTCAACAGGGAATCCGGGACATTGTCAAGCAGATCAACAAAACCTCTTCATAGTGCAGAACTTACTGGAGACAGCACTTTTTCACCGAGATGACACGCGGGTTGTCCTCTACAATGGCTTTGGGAAATCCGTTTATGCCGATGGCCAGAAAGACAAGTCTCAGGACAGGCCTCACCTTTTCGAAGACTGGCAGTCACTGTCGTCTGAGGTCATACAGTACTGCCCTTCTACGGTGAAGGCATCCTTCCCCGACTTGTGCTTACGCGAGGCTGCATATGTACAGCGTGTGAAGCACGTCGTTACAAGCCCCAGCGGGTACACCGGCCCTCATTGGAACAAGTTCGGTAAGGACGAGTCATGCCAGGGGCGTTCTCCTCTGATGCTTTCCTATCAAATCGCTGCCCTTCCTTGGTTCGAGTCGCAATGGAGACAGAAGCCGCAGAGATATGCAGATGCTTGCAGCTTCTTGCGGCAACTCGCGGGTCAGCACAATTTGGAGCTTTACAATGCTGACATTTGCCGAATCACAGCTACAGAGTCCAACTTCTACCTCTGGATCACCCGCATCTCTTCGAAGATTTGCTTTAAGTATCCCGAGCAAAAAGGCTGCGAGCAACGGGATGTCTACAATGGCGACGAGATGGCCCTCCAACTGTCGAAGGTTTATTCCAACATCACTCTGCTTTTCGTGTCCTTCGGGGTCATCCCTTACTTGGATCAAATCTTCCTAGTGCGGCAGGCCGAGCAGTGCATCACAACGGCTACTATGTTGTAGGATTGCTATTTAAGATACTTATGTACTCCGCACCATTCCACTACGTTCCGAAGTCTTATAAATCGAATCCAAGCTGCTGCGACTGCTACTCTTCGTGGCGATTTCGATTTGGCGATCGTCTGTATTTTGAACTTTGTTGCTGTCATGACCAAGAGGTTTCCTTTATTGCAATGCTCGTAATGCTAGCGGCCATCACCATTCTTTTAGTCTACGACAGTCATGACCGTTTGTATTCGACAATGGTGAAGGTTGTTAAGTTAACTCTTCATTCTTTTTGGATTGGCCGCATCCTCAGCGTTCTTGCCGCAGACAACTGATCTTCACTGCATCGTGACTGAAACACGCTGTTATTACTGCGATTGTTCCTGCTTGCTGTTGCCATCATCTTCAACTGCTGGCCATTACCCTTACAATCGTGGTGTTCTTCCTTACATTCCCTCTGACTTCACTTTTCGACCACTGGTCGGTTCGTCTGATACACTAGAGAATTGCATGGCAACAACAAACCGCTCAATGTGAGGATCGTCATCGCTGTTGGTATGGTGGAGCACTGCGCATCTAAGCGGTTTTGACTAGTGGAACTTGCAAGCTGCCGACTTACAAGGGCTCGAGGCTTATGAAAGGATACTCGATCACTCGTAGCTCCATGCCTTTCTGACGAAATCCTAAGCTAGGTGCGATATGTTGACGGCCAGAAACTGTTGGGAGACCACGAGCTCCAAGACGGGTCTGGGATGGTCTGGGCCATTGACGAAGCTCAAGAGACTGAAACCTTCGTTTCAATCGGACAGGGAAGCTGCCTTCAAACATCGCCAAGCCATGAAGTCGATAAGTGATCTGTCACTACTTGCGGCGTTTACAGCGCTACTAGTAGCATGAAGGGCCACGACAGCAGCCGCGGTTGCATCCTATTTGCTCTGGTATTGCGGAGCAACACGTCGACATCCTTGAACAACTTCGATGTGCCGGTGCAAAGACAACATCGCAAACATAAATGGCAGCATCTAAAAACCCACAGACACATCGACAAGTAAGGTCCTCAAGTTGAGATCTTCGGCATACATTATTGTTTCAACGAGAGAAGTCGCCGTGCCAAGTCTAAAATGATGGAGAACGCGCAACAGTGCTGGGGGCATCATCAGAACAGCTGAAGCCGCCAGAGCGACCAGAAAGAAGCAGCAGATCTGAGTTGGAGATAGCTGTGAGCGCTGACTGCTGCGGAGAGAGAGCGAGCGAGAAAGACTTGTTGCGCAGCTTGAATAAGTTCATGCATATACGCCCAAGTCGAGTAATTTGCTTTGCCCTTACTGTCAGTGGTTGTTAGTCTACACGGTTACAGAAAACCTACGTGTCATTGTCGTCGTCAACTGTACTATGACATAGTCTGACATGCCGACATCTTCAAGTCGTACCGTACCTCAGGCGGATACCATCATTGCAGCACACGGTGGTGGCTCCTGGAACACCGCCAGATGGCTCAACAGCGCATTGGAACAACGCCTGCTCGAAATTATTCCTGGCAACGCCCCCACGAACACCTGTCCTCTCACGAGGATGTTTGGCGGGCAGTTTACTTTCGTGAAGATTCCGTGCCCCAAGTGCAAGTCACGAAAAAACACGTTTCTGAAGTTTGACGAGTTGCTCCGAGCTTTGGCAATACGGCCACCGCCATTATTCAATTGCACTCGACCACCTTTCCAGCCGCTGGCAGCCTGGGAGGCAGAAGCTGAAAGGTTGGCAGCTGAAAGACTTCGAGCAAGCTCCGAAACTTCGACGCCGACGAATTGAATTCTGAAAAAAGCGTATTGAAACCACCCGAAGCCCCAAAGCCCTGAAGCCTGAACATCAACTCCGCATCTGGAACCCCAAGCCGCCATCGGTGTGACTCACCTGCGCATGGCTAAACGGCAAAACCACACGAGCTGCATCCCTGAACTAGTCGCGGCCCAATCATTAGTCATTCCGCCGGAGATTTTCAAAAGTTTCTCAGCCTATTCCTGCTGCAGTCCCTAAACAACTGCAGTAGAGCACAGCTCAAAATCCTGTCAAGTGCGAAATCGAGAAGAAAGGGTTCCAGATTTGGGGCTTCGGGTGTAATGTGGTCGCCTTGATCGCCACTAGCGCGGTTCTGTTGAAAATCCCAATGCACAGCAGTTCCCGGGTTCAGCCTCTCGCAAAGATTCTACCATCTCAGCTCGGGCTTGGGATCGAGCCCAGGTCCTAGGAACGCAGACCCAAAGCTGTGAACCGCACAGTCGTGAAGTGCCTAACTTAGGGTCACTGGTTCTGCTGCTAATGGCTTAGAACTCTGCCGATACTGTAGGCTCCAAACCTTTAGCTAGTTGCAGGTGCCTTTCAACGGGACTTCGTGCCACGTGAGAGTACTGGTCAAGCCGTTTGCTTGAGATGTGTCGCCCGAACCCTCGCTGATCCCTGAACCTGAGGCCCGCAAACTGTACAAAAGCCGGAAACCATGAAGACTCAATCCCAAGCCCCTACCTCCACATATCCCGGCTGCTTTCAAGAATAGTCAAAAGGCTGGATTTGGAGAGCGGGAAGATCCTGGACCACGTGAAGTTCGAGGTTGGCAACATGGTGGGGCCCCTGGCTGTTTTGAAGATCGTGAGTAGCACCGCCAGCACTGCTACAACTACTACCACCACCACGGCACCACCACCTCCACGGCAGCAACTAGGACAGATAAATTTTCTGCCGCTGCTGCTACACACGTGGCTTGGGTGGAACCAGACATCGTCGTAGAGCCACGACACCAGTTGATCTCGCGAATAGTACAGTTGGGGTCGACCTTTCATCCAAAGCCCTACACCTTGAACCATCATGTTTCGATGTCATGATGCCACCACACCCCCATGCATAAAGCCCAAATTCAGGTGATGGTCAGCGGTGGAAACAACATCGGCAGAGACCTTAGCAGGATGGGAGAAGAGCCCGCTTGCACCCAACTCACAAGCGTCACTGAATCTCCCAAGAAGGTGCTTGGACTCGAGAAAACGGGAGGTCAGCTCTCGTCAGTATTCTGTGTGTAGGTTGCTTCAGGCATGTCGGTGACTTGCAGCGCCTCGAGTCTTCAAGCTCGAGTTTTTCTGTTTACATTGCTGGGAAGGAAAGCACACGATGCCCATCGCCAGACAGGTCGAGTCGGAACCATTACGCAGCGTGAGAAGCACCCCGGCTCGTTCGAGATTATCCACATCAAGGACGACGGCATTTTATGCTTCTTTCCATTCTGTGAAACGTTCAGGGCAGGTGTGATGCGCAGGTGCCCGCAAACAAGACCAGGGCTGAGCGGTAGAGCTTGAAACAAACAGCTCGGGTTCCAGACCGAAGTTTTGCGTTCAGGGTAGCACGGCTTGTGATTTCTAGTTTGGGTTGGGGCATCTTCCGAAAAGGATTGCTCTTGAAGTGCAGGAACCTGTCGAGGCACGACTCCAGAGCCGTTCGGGGGCGTACTCGCCGCAGGCTTAAAGCCCCACATGACCCGAGTCCCGCCAAGCGGCCGAAGCCTCGAATCACAACTTCCGAAGCGGGTCCAACCGGGCCGATCAGGCCACGAAGCGGTTCCCGCAAGCCCGCTTAAGCTTACTTCGAGGTTTCCTTTGTTTCATAAAGTCTGCTCTTTGATTCTTGCTCTCTATTCAATCGAGTGTCTGCATGACAGACTCAAGCCGTAAATAAAGCTCGATGAAGATTCATCGGTTCAAGGGCCCAGACCCGTATGCCCAAACTGCACCGCCGGATCACAGGACGCCGCCGGGCACAGCTTCAACACGCGCCTGGAGAACGTCTTTCTCATTGGCTCGGGCAACAAGCCGTGGATCTCGCTGCCCAAGGCAAGGCAAGCTTTGCTTCTTAGAGCTCCGGGTTCAAGAACTCGAAGACCGAAATCGATGGGCCCAACCTCTACCCTGACAAATGCTAAACCTCGAAGATTCCAGTCTAAGTTTTCAGCTCAGATGTCACCTCACAAGTCGCTGAAGGAAGTCGCACGTAGATATGAACGCAAAATACAACTGGAGGAGCGACCAGGCCGCCTTGTGGGGCTCCGATCACACAATTCCCAGTCAACAACATGATACGCAGCAGCAAGAGGAGCACTATCGCAAGGGAAATAGAAGCAGGAGCACTAGCAATAGCAGCACTAGCAGCTGGTAAAACTGGTGATTGTTGTCGGGAGCACTGCTCGCCAGAACAAGGGTGGCACGAAGCTGCTTGATACGTGAGTGTATTTCTAGCCATGGTCCCTAGTCGTTTTTTCGTGCTGGGCATGGCTGTTCCACATATTGCGCTACAGTTTCGGGTTAAAGGTATTTACATACATGCTCCTTGTAACCTCCAATGCAGCCTCGAGAGCATTTGAAGATGCAGGGCAACGGCATTAAGCTGAGCATTGTCGAAGATCGTGGCCAGAGGATGAGCCTCCTGGCAGATGGAAGTGCTGCTGCCTGTCATTTTAACAAATGACCTAAATCACCTTGTATCATGTCAATGTTGTCGATGATTGCAAGTAATGTGATTACTGTCTTTCTGACTGTTACCACTCTTAGTCTTGTACAGGCCTAGTTGGTCACAAGGACGACCAACAAGACGATGATTGCTGCTTCAATTTCCAGTGCCTTTTTCACTACATACAAGCAACGCTGCAGCTGAGCCCCCCAGACCCCCCAAACCCGTGCTTGCTAAAGCCCTCAAACTCGAAACTCGAAGCTCCAAGCCTAAACCTTTCCCCAATGATGTGTTGAGGATTAGAGTTTCGAGGGTCAGGTTGGCGGTTGTTCTTCTTTGCCCTTTGCCTGCAAGTACAATGTGCTCTGGAAGGCTTCAGGCCCTCGCTGTTTTCTGCTTGCAACCTTTCTTCCAAGCACATAATTAACGTATAACGTGGAACGTATCCTATGAAGAGTATCCTAAACTCTAAACTCTATGAAGAGCATCCTCACACCTGGGCCGTGGCCAAGGCAAGTGAGCTGCAGCAAGTCGCTGCCAGCGTGGACCGGGACCACTCATGGACTATGATGGTTTTAGTGCGAGCGAGTGAGCAGCTTTGCAAGAACCTTACTGGGAAAGCAACTTCAAAACCTTGAAGAGGCAAAAACATCAGTTGCAAAAGGAGCTCTCGTTTAGAACAACGCACATGTCGGGCCGTTTGCTGAAGAAGCGCCAGTTTGATTTTGCCAGCCCAGGGGAGGGAAAAAGAGTTTGGTGTGATGCTCATGGCTAGTTCCAACTCAAGAGGGGTTCTGCAGATTTCAAGGGGCTGCATGGGCTTCGACACGACCCTTCTGAGCCGGGCTCAGCTCAAAGCATGTGTTTCATCAGTGAGCTGACTTCGTGACCATCCCAGCCGGAGCAGACTATGCCTATAAGCGTCATGTGTTGTCTGAAACACTTCGCTATGAGGGACATGTGCAGTTCCATTGCACACCGTCATCGTTGAACCTTTTGTGGTGTGTTTCCTAGCCCTAGTCTGGCAGTAGCATAGGAAGAGACAGTGACAATCCGGAAAGAAAGCTTGCTAAGCTCGGACCGCTCTTGCGCTTTACGTCTTCAGCTTCTCACGTAAATATCGCCGCCACGTGTTGCACCACATTGCAAGTTTTAACATGTCGCGGTTCCTGGAGCAATGCCATCTGGTGGCGACGGAGGAGATCCAGCTGCGGGAGGACCATTGCTTTTGTCTTGGGCATGCCATTTTATGTCTGGGATAAGAAACATAGAGGAGATCGTTGTAGGTTCTGGGTTGTTGAAAAGGTTGGGATGGGTGAGCCTATGAGTCCACTCGCATCACACAAACTTTTCACCCAAGTGAAATGAAGGAGCTGTGTGTGAGTCGCAAACACAATAGCTTTAGCATTCCTGTGACCTCTTCCCGTACGTGTTGGCAGCTTGGATGCAGTATTCGCTGGTTATTGCCCTTTACAGCTGTAGATTAAGCAGGTCGCTAAGGAGGTCACTCGCACGTCATGAAGAGCGCAGGCCCCAGAAGCCGTCCTTTAAGCCCCAGTGCTTGCACCATGTTGTGATAGAGAAAACTTGTCTGGCAGGTCGGCTTAAGAGTAGCTATCGTTGTTGAATAGCAGAGTTCATAGCAAGAGTTTCGGATGTGCCGCGGAAATTTGAGCCAGCATCTTCAAGCTCGCATTGACCGGGGGATATAGGTGCCTGGGCAAGATAGCGAGGCTTGCATTCTCAGATCGCTTGTGAAGTCTTATTCGAAGCCCTGCGCAAGCGGTCTACTATAAAAGCCGCCGCCCGGTGCCCAACTCGACGTCCATCTCGCAGAAAATACTGGAGGCGAAGGTGGTGCGACGAGAGACGGGAGAACCTTTAAGGTCAAGGTTTAGGCTTGTTTAGGTTGCTTTAGACGTGAGAGCTCACGAGGACTATGCGGACTAGCGCATTGTTTCTAGAAGCTGGCTTTGGCATTTTGGAACGGCAGGCGGCACTGGCGCTCAGCGAGGCACCACGTGGGTGACGGTTTAGGAAGCCGGGAGCAGGGTGTTCCGGGGTCCATGGAACCAGTGTTGAAACAGATTTCAGGATTGATATTTAGACTAACTTGGATTTGAAACTCTTCCGTGCCTGAGCCTGGTCCGTCTGGGCCGTTAGCTGTGTCGCAGAAGCTGGGTTGAAATACAATTCGCGCCGTGATTGGAAGCCGCATCTTGTGATTAAGGCTCTGACATGTCCGCGCACTATGGCAGATTCTTGAATCGCTTTCTCTTCGTGGAATCGCGGATCAACCCCTTCCTTGGAGTTTGATTGATCCACTCCGTAATCAAAGAACCACTAAATCAACCACCGACCCACGAATCAACAGATCAAGCAACCCAAGAGCTTGAACAGTTCAACAATAATGCCTACAGGAATCTCCCCGCACAGCCGCAATAAAAACAATCACCGTCATGCCTGACCAGACTTACCGAGCAGTGGAGAAACCGAGCAACCGGCCGACCGACTCACTATGCGAACCAGCGAGCGGGCAGGCAAGCCCGCCAGCAAGCCAGTAGGTCAGCAAGCCCAAGTGCGGCCAAAGGTCTGGGAGCCCAGTGCCCTATGGCCAAAATGAGTAATTAATTACCACAAATGAAGCTGAGGGTTGCGGGTTGATTTACCATTCAGGGTTAAACAGTTTCAACTTCGCAGGGTCAATAGCTGAGGGTTTCTAGGTTGCTTATCAAGGCTTGCAATGTGGTGACCCAGAAAATATCTGCAAGGAACCGATGTGCTCTTGAAGATGAATTATCATGTTTCGGTGACATCATGCCTGTCGGGGCGGACCCGTTGACCTTCCTATAAATTGCACAAGTGTGGATTGTGATGACAAAGCAGACCAACTCGGATGGGAAGATGCGGGCCAGGGTTAGACATCCGGAACACCGTCTGAATTTTCAACCTGAAGTCCTCTACCTTAAGCTGCCAGCCCAAACAGTGCTTGTGGAGCGAAGGTGACCGGGTTGCAGTACGTCAGCTGCTGCCAACTGCTGAATGTCACCGGCGTGAGTGCGACCTGGTCGAAAACGGATGAATGCAGGATTTGTGATGTTGCGTTTGTTTCTGGATGTGGATTTCCGGATGAGGGTTTGTGATGTTGACGGTTTAGGTTTGAGGTCTTGTTGTTAGGGCCTTAGGGCCGTGCGCACCGTTTCTACTCTCACGGGATGTTCCACCAGTTGCGCATCCGACAGGCGTGTAACCTGCGACTTTAACAACTGTTGGCAGGTAGGCAGTACATCGGTAGGTGTCCATAAGTGTTTATGCCAGCCAAACAAAAATGTGTGTCGGAATGGGGTTCTGTGCACATTTTCAAGTTAGCACGTCTCTTAGCATCTTCCGTGCTGAAGCAAAAATGTGTGTCGGAATGGGGTTCTGTGCACATTTTCAAGTTAGCACGTCTCTTAGCATCTTCCGTGCTGAAGCAAAAATATGTGTCGGAATGGGGTTCTGTGCACATTTTCAAGTTAGCACGTCTCTTAGCATCTTCCGTGCTTAAGCAAAAATTGTGTGTCGGAATGGGGTTCTGTGCACATTTTCAAGTTAGCACGTCTCTTAGCATCTTCCGTGCTGAAGCAAAAATGTGTGTCGGAATGGGGTTCTGTGCACATTTTCAAGTTAGCACGTCTCTTGGCATCTTCTTCCTCTTCCGTGCCTGAAGCAAAAAATGTGTGTCGGAATGGTTTTCTGTGCAACATTTCAAGGTAGCACGTCCCCCTCTTAGCATCTTCCGTGCTGAAGGCAAAAATTTGTAGTCGGAATGGGTTCTTTTGCACATTTTCAAGTTAGACTCTCCTTAGCTCTTCCGTGCTGAAGCAAAAAATGTGTGTTCGTAATGGGGTTCTGTGCAACATGTTTTTCGGTTAAGCAACGTCTCTTAGCATCTTCCGTGCTGAGCCAAAAATGGTGTTCGGAATGGGGTTTCTGTTCACATTTTCAAGTTAGCACGTCCTCTTAGCATCTTCCGTGCTTAAGCAAAAATGTTTGTGTCGGAGAATGGGTTCTGTGCACAGTTTTCAAGTTAGCACGTCTCTTAGCAATCTTCCGTGCTTAAAGCGCAAAAATGTGTGTCCGGAATGGGGTTCTGGGCACATTTTCAAGTTAGCACGTCTCTGCTCTTCTTCCGTGCTGAAGCAAAAATGTGTGTCGGAATGGGGTTCTGTGCACATTTTCAAGTTAGCACGTCTCTTAGCATCTTCCGTGCTGAAGCAAAAATGTGTGTCGGAATGGGGTTCTGTGCACATTTTCAAGTTAGCACGTCTCTTAGCATCTTCCGTGCTGAAGCAAAAATGTGTGTCGGAATGGGGTTCTGTGCACAATTTCAAGTTAGCACGTCTCTTAGCATCTTCCGTGCTGAAGCAAAACTGTGTGTCGGAATGGGGTTCTGTGCACATTTTCAAGTTAGCACGTCTCTTAGCATTTTCCGTGCTTAAGCAAAAATGTGTGTCGGAATGGGGTTCTGTGCACATTTTCAAGTTAGCACGTCTCTTAGCATCTTCCGTGCTGAAGCAAAAATGTGTGTCGGAATGGGGTTCTGTGCACCATTTCAAGTTAGCACGTCTCTTAGCATCTTCCGTGCTGAAGCAAAAATGTGTGTCGGAATGGGGTTCTGTGCACATTTTCAAGTTAGCACATCTTTTAGCATCTTCCGTGCTGAAGCAAAAATGTGTGTCGGAATGTGGTTCTGTGCACATTTTCAAGTTAGCACGTCTCTTAGCATCTTCCGTGCTTAAGCAAAAATGTGTGTCGGAATGGGGTTCTGTGCACATTTTCAAGTGGTAGCAGTCTCTTAGCATTCTTCCGTGCTTAAGCAAAAAGGTGGTTCGGAATGGGTTCTGTGCACATTTTCAAGTTAGCACGTCTCTTAGCATCTTCCGTGCTGAAGCAAAAATGTGTGTCGGAATGGGGTTCTGTGCACATTTTCACGTTAGCACGTCTCTTAGCATCTTCCTTGCTGAAGCAAAAATGTGTGTCGGAATGGGGTTCTGTGCACATTTTCAAGTTAGCACGTCTCTTAGCATCTTCCGTGCTGAAGCAAAAATGTGTGTCGGAATGGGGTTCTGTGCACATTTACAAGTTAGCACGTCTCTTAGCATCTTCCGTGCTGAAGCAAAAATGTGGGTCGGAATGGGGTTCTGTGCACATTTTCAAGTTAGCACGTCTCTTAGCATCTTCCGTGCTGAAGCAAAAATGTGTGTCGGAATGGGGTTCTGTGCACATTTTCAAGCCCAAAGGCTCCGTGTGTGCACAGAGAGCCAACATAAGCCAGTTTTGTCCCAGAGCCCACATTCATTCCAGAGCCCACTCGGGTTTTCCATAGAAATAAGCACACGCGAATATGATGTTAACAATAGCCCAGCCTTTGGCTTTGTATCGCGGATCGTTGCACACTAAATCACGACTTGATGCTTTGCATTTGCAGTGTTATGAATGCATTTTGGCGCAAACGCAGCACAACGAGATCGCAGGTAT